TCCAGGGACAGGGCAACAAACCCATCTGCTCAGGAAACTGGAGATGCCATAAGCCAAGGTAGAAGTCAGGATCTGAAGGTCAAGGTAGCCAAAACAGTGCAGGAGCCGAGCTGCCTGCAGATATAAGCAATAATCGCACCGGGCAATGCTTGTGAGGAGGGTGACTCACCCTCCAGATACCCCCTTTCTCCTGAACCTACAGGCACTATTCACAGTAGTTCTCTCTTTCAGGGTGCCCAGTATTGTTACATCTTTCCACGGAGGGCGTAAAACATTGATTCATAATGGCCCTAAGAGCTCATTTGTTTCCCCTCCCAACCCTTCAAGCTTGAGGAGGAGCATTTCTGTGCAAGGCAATGAAGGATGCATGCGTGTCCAATAAATACATCTTGGGCTGGGAGTGTAGCTCAGAGATAGAATATTCACAAGGTCTGGGATTTAATCTCTGGTACCACATAGAGACAGTTCCAGGCCAGCCTAGCCTACAGAGTGAGTTCCAGGATAGGCTCCAAAGCTACACAGAGAAACCTTGTCTGAAAACACAATATTTATATATTTCAGAGGTTGCAGCTCAGTGGGTTGAGTCATTGCTGTGCAAACATGAGGTTCTGGGCTCAGATTTCCAGCATCCATGTAGAATCTGGACAGTGGTGGCACATACCTTTAGTCCCAGCACTTAAGAGGCAGAGGTAGGCTGTGTAGACCAGGCTGGCCTTGAACTCGGAGATTCTACCTACTACCAGTACTGGAGCTAAAGGCATACACTGCTCTACTTATTTTTGAGACAACATATCTGTCTGATACTAGAGCTAGTTTCAACTAAACTGGTCGTTCAGCGTGCCTCTGCCACCTGCCTTTCAGCGCCCACCCCAACTCTAGTGCTGGGATTCAGGCCTGTACCCTCATACCCAAATCTTTGTTTTTGTTTTGTTTTTTCAAGACAGGGTTTCTCTGTGTACACTGGCCTGGAACTCACAGAGAGACGGTATCACAAAAGTAAAACATACAGAGACTGACTGGACCTGACCTTTGCCCTTCACATATGCATGCACAGGTGAGCACTCCTACCTGGAAAACACAGTCTGTCTGTGTAAACATAGGAACAAATCTCAGACAACAGAGATAACGCTTGGTAAAAAGGAAGAGATCAGGGAGACACAAACAGCAGCAGAGAAAGAAACCAGGAGCACCCTCTGACCTACCCTCCCCCAAGCATCAGAAGACACCAGGCTGGATGATTGTCTGAGCCACCAGGATGTCAGGTGGGTGGCTGGAATCAGCAAAGTGGCATGCCTGTGGGTGTTCCGATTCAAGAGTGTTCTGGAATCCTAATGACCCTGAGTTGTAGCCAGGGTCAACAGAGCATAGAGGTTAGGGTATGTGGGAGACAGAGTCCAAAGGCCCAGTGGGTCCTGGGCCCCAGCTGCAGCAATGTGGCCTAGGAGGACAAGGAGAGTCAGTGTTTTGTTTTAATATATGAGCGTTCTGTCTGCATGTACACCATTATGCCAGAAGAGGGCATCACATCCCACTCTAGATGACCGTGAGCCACCATGTTGCTGGGAATTGAACTCAGAACCTATGGAAGAGCAGCCACTGCTCTTAACTACTAAGCCATCTCTCCAGCCCCTTAGTCAGGGTTCTATTGCTGTGAAGAGACATCATTACCGTGTTTTTCAAGACATGGTTTCTCTGTGTAGCTTTGGCTGTCCTGGAACTTGCTCTGCAGAACAGGCTGGCCTCGAACTCACAGAGATCCGCCTGCCTCTGCCTCCTGATTAAAGGCGTGCGCCACCATCACCTGGCCCATGGCAACTCTTATAAAGGAAAGCGTTTAACTGGGGTTTGCTTACAGTTTCAGAGGTTTGGTCCATTATCGTCATGGCAGGAAGCATGGTGGCACACAGGCAGACACGGTGCTGGAGAAAGAGCTGACCGTTCTCTATCTGGATTCTCAGGCAGCAGGAAGAGAGAGCGAGGGCGCTGGGACTGGACTCAAGCTTTTGAAACCCCAAAGCCCACCCACCTGCATTGACACACTTTCTCCATTAAGGCCCCACCTCCTAATGCCACTCCATAAGCACTCAAATGTATGAGCCTATGGGGCCATTCTTTTAATATTTATTTTTATTTTATTTGCATTGGTATTTTGTCTGTATGTATGTCTGTGTGAGGGTGTCAGATCTTGGAGTTCTAGACAGTTGTTGAGCTGCCATGTGGGTGCTGTTCTTCCAAGAGACCTTTGGAAGAACAGTCAGTGCTCTTAACTGCTGAGCCACGTCTCCAGCCCCCAGTATGGGGCCATTCTTATTCAAACCACCACAGAATAGAGCCAGGGTTGCCCCCACAGGGCTATAGTAGTGAAAACATCGCACAGAAGAGGAAACCCAGACAAAGCCTGCACCCCAACACGCAGCCCAGGGTCCTGTACAGCCTCTGGGCCTCCGCATCTCCCAGTGTGGCACCCCCAAGCCAAAGCCATGCAATGCCCAGCATGGCCATCATGGAGCAGCATCTGGGGACTCTCAGAATGGAAAGCCACACACTGGGCAGTCTGGGAACACAGTCTTAACATTTTGCAGAGGCGAACAGTTCCTTTCTCTTGCAACCTCCCAGGCAGTGAGCCTGCACTTGGGGTGTTGAACTTACCAGGGAAGCCGAGCATTAGGGTATACGCCTGTGATCCCAGCACTCAGGAGGCTGAGTCAGGAGGACAGCCTTGAGTTTGAGGCTGGACCTGGGTTCAGTTTTCAGTCCCCACGTGTATGCTAACCACCATAAATAACTTCCGGTCCAGGAGATCCAGTGCCCGCTTCCGACCTTCACAGGAACTAGGCACACTACACGCAGGCAAAACACCCATACACATAAAATAAACTAAATGCATCCAAAAATGTCTTTTTAAAATATAAAACAAAACAACTGTGAAGGACAGGGACAGTGGCTCAGTTGGTATCATGCTGGCTTCGTATGCACAAAGCCTGGGTTTGATCTCTAGTATTACATGAACTTGGTTGGTAGTGTAAGCCTGCAATCCTAATTAATACAAGGAAGGTAAAGGCGGGAAGTCATGGAAGCAAGGCCGTCTTCACTATGTAGCAAGTTCAAGGACAGCCTAGTACACACAAAGCCCTGTTTCAAAAGACCAAATCCCTTAAAAATACAATCAAATGAAAATCACCCAGGGAAGGCATAGTGGGTGAGGTGCCAGGCCTTGCCTACTGAAAACAACCAGGGCCAGGAATGGCTCTGCAGGTAAAGGCACCTCCTCCCACCAAGCCCTGGGATTCTCCCTACCTTCAAGCCCTGGGATTCTCATGACAAAAGTAGAGAACAGACTTTTATCTTATTTTTATTTTTTGGTTTTTCGAGACAGGGTTTCTCTGTGGCTTTGGAGTCTTGCTCTGGAACTTGCTCTGTAGACCAGGCTGGCCTCAAACTCAGAGATCCTCCTGTGTCTGCCTCCAGAGTGCTGGGATTAAAGGCGTGTGCCACCAACGCCCCGGCCGAGAACAGACTTTTAAAACGTAGTCTTTATTTTTCTTTTTTAAGATTTTTTTAATTTTTTTTCCAAGATAGGGTTTCTCTGTGTATCTTTGTAGACCAGGCTGGCCAGGAACTCACAGAGTGCTGGGATTAAAGGCATGTGCCGCCACCACCGGGCTTAAAAAGCAGTCCTTTAACCTCTACACTCACAGACACACACACGCAATTCATATGCACACTCACACACACTCACACACACATTCACTCACACATGCACACACACACACACTCACACACAGAAACATGTAAACAACAAAAAAGGTAAACGTTTGGCCACCTGGTGGCCTTGAGTTTCTGGGGTGCAGAGGTCAGGTCTAATGCCTGCTTGTCTCCCCTCTGGCATGAGGTGGGGGAGGCGATGGAGGTGGGAGCTTCTCAGGTGTTCTTCTCTGGGAAAGCTGTGCTTGGAGACTAGGTAGAAAAACAATTCCTGTCACATGTGAGGCAGGTATGGCCGGAAACAGAGGTTGGGTTGATGATCACGTCAGAACTCCTGACTGGCCTGAGGTCAAGGCCAGGTGGGCCCTGCTGGACACAGGACGGCTACTGCTTGGGGCTAGCTGCTGTTTCCTTCTCCTGGAGTGGCTGTTGAGGTGAGCCGTCCACCAGGCTAACAGATACCCGGATAAGCTCTGGTGGGACATGGCCTTCCAGACTGGGGGAAGGGCTTAGGTTTGTTCTCAGCTGTGATGGAAATTGGTTTGACAGCTCCAAGAAGACCCTTCACCTCTCAGTGCCTTCAAGCTTCACAAACGCAAGGCAGCATCTTGTTGATGTCTAGTCTGGGCTCCGGGGCCAGGGGTGCGATCCCACGGTTTCTGGGGTTAGAATATAGTTTTTTAGAAGGGGAACGGGTCCAGAAGGGCTACCCAGGAAGGGGGAGGGGACCGAGAACAAGAGAGGCAAAGGCCAAAGAGGTGAGGAGGCCAGGGGATGAGGTGGCAGGGAGCACAGAGGAGCCATTGTGCAGACTAGAACTAGGGCCAGACTGGAAACCCCCCTCCCACTGGGTCTTTCGCGGTCAGGAAAGGAACTGGGCCCTGAGGCCCAGGGATAAAGAGCCCTGCAGGCGCCTTCTGCTTCTGTCACCAACTCAGTTTCCAGTCATCCGCGCCCCAGCGGGCCTGCAGTCTGAGAGGATACAGCCCCCCCTGCCTTCAAGAAAAGCGCCACCCTGCTCCAGGTCGGCATTTTGAGCATGAACTTACACACAGCCTGGTCTTCCCTTTCCCGTGCCTCAGTTTCCCCTCTTCAGTTGCTAACGGCTGGCTTTTCAGGCTTGGTAGACACCCCCTCCCAAATGTGGGAGGGAGAGCAGGAGTCTGGGCAGGCAGCCCCCTCCAAGCTGGAGCTCCCGGGGGAGAAGAGCTTCCTAACTGAGTTTGCTAGACGCCAAAGCCAAGGGGGACCCCCAGATCTCTGGGAAGGGGAGGGACAGGCCAGAAAGAGGAGCGGCTCGCCCGCAGAGCCCCAGCTTGCCCGCAGAGCCCCCTCCTCCTCCCAGCGCGGCTCGCTCGCAGCGCGT